AACAGAGTTGTCAACTCCAAAATTGTGGAGGTAGAGAAGTTACCAAAATTTTTTGAAACTTTTGCCATCGATAACTTAGCAAACGACGACTAACGAAGGGAAATTATTGAGTTCCTTAGAAACCTAACAGGAACAACGGATCAAAAACGAAATACAAGGCATTGAGTTACGTCATTATTAGGAATTAGTTGTTCAAAAAGACTCCACAAGAGGTGATTCTCAAATATATTAGTGAGAGCGAAACTTACTTGGCAATTTCAGATACCAATAGCAGACCGTGTGACGCTCACCAAGCAGGTTACAAAATGAGGTTGTTGTCATGTCAACAGGGGTATATTGGCTCACCATGTTGAAGGATTATATTGAGTATGCTCAAAGGTGTTAAGAGTGTCAAAAACATGGAGGAATACAACATGTACCCGCCAGTGAATTACATTCGATCATTAAGCCACAATTATTCAGGGGATAAGTGTTAGATGTAATAGGTGAGATCAAACCTGCGTATTCTAAAAGTTATAAATATATCCTAGTGGGCATTGGTTATTTAAAAAATGGGTCGAGACAGTGCATCTGACTAACGTCAACCAAGACACCATAATTGACTTCATACATAATCATATCATGTGTAGATATCGAACTCACTGACCAAGGTTCAGTGTTCATCGGCAGAAAGGTAATGGAGTTTGCCGCAGAGACAGGAATCAAATTCATAACGCCAGCCCCCCACTACATACAAGCTAACAACCAAATAAAGGTACAAACAAGTTATCACAAGCTTGATAAAAAAACACATAGGCCAAAGGCCAAGAAGTTGGCATACAACCTTGAATCAAGCACTTTGGGCTTGCAGAACTTCACCCAAAGAAGCCATCAATTCCACACTGTTTCAGGTAACGTTGGGTCATGTCGTACCTCAAAAAATACGATATTTGTGATGCGTAAAATCTAGGGTTTGCACGGTCACTGATGGACTTATGAGAGTCGCCACTGAATATTATTTATTCCACGAAGGGAAAGGAAAAATATCGAGAAAACCCACGAGTAAAAGGATAGGGTATGGTCATCCCAACCATGTTGGGCTCGGAAGTCAGTTATGTAAGGAGAAGGTACTAGCATTCCCTACATCCATCATACTCGATGGGAACCGTATAAGTTATATAGGTATGAAAGGTGTTTGTTATCTTATTGGTTATTAAGGGAAATATGGATGAATACTTGAGGAAAAATGAAAGTTTTTATTATTGAATTCGTCTGAGTTTTCAACTCAGTACCTACGTATCCCAAAGGGAATCAAAACTCCATAGTGCTTGTTGAAAATGTTTTTGTCTGTTGCATGTTTTTTTATGAACAATGTTATGAAGCATGTCCTTTTTGAAAGTTTAAACGGAAAAGCCAGAGGCAAAAATGGTTTGAGATGTGTGAGGTGTTTTTTAGATTTTGGAAAGAAAGTTTGAAATATTGTTAAAGTGTTTTTTGAATTTTTTAAGAAAAGATTTTAATTTTAAACGGAAAGAAAATCTAACCTAATTATATAATCCCAAAGTTATGATAAAGGGAAACTAACATGAAAGTTGTCGTGCAAAAGAATTAAAGCCTAAAGCCTATATTGACTCGATTTATCGAAGATAAGGTTGAATCAATACCCTGAGGGATCACGAAAATAAAAAAGATAAGAGACTAAACCCAAACTAAAAAACATCAAGTAGTCATCAGGCAAAGCATCGAGATCACAGAGAAATAACACCCAAGGCGCGTCAAACCCTTTTCTCAAACACTTGTCCACAACTTATAACTTTGAATTACGAAATTGATCACAAATTAAAAACACGACTTAATCTTGCTTAAGTCAACAATCGATCATAAATTTTAATCAAAATTAAATCACAAACTCTAAATCATAAAAAAAAATCACAAAAATTAAATTTTAAGACTAGCATTAGTAACTAATTTTGAAATTAAGAACATGGATGTAACAAAAGAGGTATTGAAAACACACGGGTCGTCGTAAGCCCAAGAAGATACCCAAAAAAATGGTGGCGAGGCTTCAAAAAACACGTGGGTTTAAATTCCAAAGCTCAACAACTCAAAAGAAAAAAAAAAGTCTAATTCATTTGAAGAACAAACAAAAAAGAAATTACCTACACATTCATCTCTCTCTCTCTCTCTCTCTCTCTCCTCTCTCGATCTCTCTCTCTCTCTCTCTCTCTCTCTCTCTCTCTCTCTCTCCTCTCTCTCTCTTCTCCTCTCTCTCTCTCTCTCTCTCTCTCTCTCTCTCTCTCTCTCTCTCTCTCTCTCTCTCTCTCTCTCTCTCTCTCTCTCTCTCTCTCTCTCTCTCTCTCCTCTCTTCTCTCCTCTCTCTCTCTCTCTCTCTCTCTCTCTCTCTCTCTCTCTCTCTCTCTCTCTCTCTCTCTCTCTCTCTCTCTCTCTCTCTCTCTCTCTCTCTCTCTCTCTCTCTCTCTCTCTCTCTCTCTCTCTCTCTCTCTCTCTCTCTCTCCTCTTCTCTCTCTCTCTCATCTCTCTCTCTCTCTCTCTCTCTCTCTCCTCTCTCTCTCTCTCTCTCTCTCTCTCTCCTCTCTCTAGTGGCATCACATTCATAAGAGTAACTCGTATATGGGCATGCTTCAAAGTTCAACGTCATTGATTCCATCTCCACACACCAATGTTACTCGTTCCACTATTTTGAAAGCGGTCAAAATAAGTTCTTTTTGCTCATGAGCAACTCTAGCAAAAACCTTCACATATGAAATGAGTTAAAACGATAGAAATATGACTAAATTATTTTAAATTATTAAATTGAAATTATTAATTATTAACATAAACTACATTAAACTAAACTAAAAATATATAATGAAAATATGAAATATGAACATAATTATGTAATACATACATTTTATTAAGAATAATGCAATAAAGTAAACAAGTTGGCCCAGTGGTACAACATTGTTGCTTGATGCATCATGACGTAAAATTAGATCAATACAAAACAAATAATTAATCAATGAAATGTTGTAGGCACAGAGAGCCTTCTCACACTTCTCTTTCTTCTTATCTGCAGTAGCAACATTAGGAGCATTTTTCTAAAATGAACGCAAAATGTAAAATACATTAAAATTAAAAATCTAATTAGCATAATAATTAATTAACTTCGATGAACCATACAAATAACTCACAAAATCGACAATGCTTTCTACTATTTTTTTCCAATTTTTTCATTCTACATTAGAAACTCTTTAAATTAATATTCGATAAATTAATAAATTTTCTAAAATAATAAATTTGTCTGGTCCCGATTTGCGTCAATATAAAAAATTAAAAAAACTCGATAAAATAATAAAATAATAATTTTTTAGAATATCCCTTTATAATTTCGGTCCTAAAAAATTCATAAATAATAACTCATAGAAACTGAAAAAATATATTACACTCTATTGAAATATGATTCAATAGTTGTTTATTTTTCTTTAAAATTCAAGTCTATTTAGAGTTCATCTCTAACTTTTCTTATTGCATCCAATAGCCCAGATGTTGTATTTTTGTATTGTATTATAAAGTTGTGAAGAGTGTTCGACGCCATAAGTGTTTCCTTTCGCGTAACAGCTCCAAAGACACCGTATCATCTTCGCCGTCATCCTCTGCATTGTTCTCAATGATAGTACCCACAATATCTTCTAAACTCTGAACCTCCGAACATGCTTCATTTTCACCTGAGTAGTTCATTAGATTGTCGATATCCATCTTATTACGATAGCCACATTGATTGATCATAGTCTCGAGGTCTTGAGTTTCTTCATCAAAAGTGGATTCACCCAGATTTCTTGCAACATCACTAGCTGAACGAATTGTACAGTGTCAGAAGCAATTCACTATTGTTTCTTTTCGAACATCTATCGTTCAAGCTGAGATTGCCAAATTGATAGCATCAAGGACATTTATCTTCCCTGGATCAGATTGTCCCACCTTATAGCCTTCCAATATTTTGCGGTAAAACTTTCTATGGTAATGCATCTTGAAAGCTCTTATTATCCCAACATCGCAAGGTTGAATCTTTGATGTCATGTTGGGTGACAAGAAGAACAACTCAACGTTTCTTAGCCCTTCAATATTTTTTGAATGTGCTGGACAATTATCCACCACAAATAGAACTCTTCTACCATGCATTGTTTGGTCAAATGAACGAACATATTCATCAAAAATCACACTAATCATCTATGGTATGAACAGTATAATTATTTAAAAACTCTTTAAATTAATAATTATTAATTTATCGATAAATTAATAACTCTCTAGATTAATAAATTTCTCCGGTCCTAACATTATTAATTAAAAAAATTTCTACTGTATTTGAAGTTCAAACTAAATCGCATTAGATAACTCAAATTGAAATTAAAATTTAAAAAATATATCAAAACGGTAACTTAAAGTCACAAATGTAATTAATTAATATATAAAAAGTAATGATGAATATAATAGAAAGAAATTTGTTTCATGAAAACTAACCACACCTGTTATTACCATGATACGATCTTGTTTTTGGTTTGAAAAAAATATCCAGTCTTTTTGCATGATAATACGGGCCTAAACTCAAACTCGATTAACAATAAAATGACCCTGCTATTATACACATGTTACAAAATGAATAAATATGATGTGCTTTCAGGTCAACAACACCCCACAACATTATAATTGAAATTGAAAGAGCTACTTGAGCAACATTATAATTGTTTAGCTAATGTAAAACTAACTATTTTTAAAAATATTTATTGCAAAAAGTACTCCATATAGGAAAAGTACTACAAACGAAAAACATGCTTTTCTGATAAACAGTTGTTGTTTGTTCGATTTTCATTATTTTCCATTTGTTATCGATACGACGTCGTTTCATCTTCTTCCTCTTCCTAACTCTACTGTAATAGTTTTCCCCCTTTTTTTTTCTAAGCGCCATTTTCATCTTACTTTCTTTTCTCACTCGTTTCTCTCCACACCGAACCGAACCGAACCTCATGAACATTCAACCCAAAATCGAACCCGGTTTACCATTCGGGTTCACCTTCACGAACCCTAACAACTTCGAAGACAAGACGATTCAAGATCTCGTCGCTATATTGCGTGGAACGTATCTAGTTGAAACTTTTAATCGAGTTGAAGATGTTTTGGTGAGTAGAGACGCGAGACTCAGAGAAGAGATTCAACGGTTACAGGAGAATGTTGATTTGGAGAGACGAAAGATTGAAGAGGAGCTTCACTTTGAGAGACTCACGAGGATTCAGGGTGAGGTAGGTTTTAAGGAAAGGGAAGAATTGCATGAGAAAGAGAAAAGAAGATTGCAGGAAAGTTATGAATCTTTGATGAGGGAAGTTAAGGTAAATGGTTTAGCGGAAGGGGTTAGGATTAGAGAGCTGAGAGAGAAGAACAGTAAGTTGGAGTGTGAAGTTAAGAAATTAAAGGAAAAAAGTGTTGATGATGGGAATGAAATTGAGATGTTAAGAGTGAAGAATGATGGGTTAGAGTTAGAGGTTTTGGGGTTGAGGAAGATGAAGGGAAAATGGGAGGAAGATAGTAATGAACTCGGTGTGTTGAGGAAATCGAAGAAAAAATGGTTGGATGATAGTGTTGCGCTCGATGAGGCTAAAAGGAAGGTTCGTGTGTTGGAGGATGATAAATATGCTATGGATAAACTTGAGATTAAGAAAGAGGAATTGGAGGGATCAGTGAAGAAGAGTTTGGAAACTATTAGTAAGTTGAGGAAAGAAAAGGGTGACTTGACGGATGAGAAGAGACGGGTTGAGAAATTGCTCGAGTCTTCGAGCGCGAAGTTTCGCGGACTGAATGAACGAGTTGAAAGATTGGAGAATGATATTAGCTTTTTGCTGAGTGTTGATGGTTCTGGTGATAGAAAGAATGAGGGGGGACGTACTGTGAAGCCCGTTGTTGTTGATTTTGAAGAGAAAGATGAAGATTTTCGTGGCAACGAGTTTCGAAATGACACTGTGGAGGAGGCTGAAGATGTTCAACATTCTCTTGGAGTTGCTGCTAGTACTCAGCCACGGAACAAAGGGGACAAGGATGCTCAAGGTGCATCACCAGGTTTGGAAATTATGCATGCATCGCTTATTCGTAAAAGATATGCATTTATTGAATGCTACTTTATAGTTATTGAATTAAATATGGATGGTTGAGTAAATGTTCGGTCAGATTGCTTGGTAGATTGGCCAAGAATCTTGATTTTTCTGATTTAATGAAGCAAAAGTAGCTATTATCATGTTTTGTAATTTCTTTGAACTAGTTGGCCTACTAGTGATTGAATCAAACCACATTGAAATACCTATAACTGGTTATCGTAATTTGCAATAAGAGTATGACAACAATTACTGACAGAATAATAGGATCCAAGAGGAGAAGGTGGACTCAAAGAGACTGGTAGTAACTAAGTTTATTACTGAGGTGTTTTAGTAGTAGTGACTATTAGTCTCTTTGAGTCCACCTTCTCATCTTGGGTCCTATGTTTGAACCAGGATATTATGGTTCTCTCTGGATGGAATTTGAATTATGACTTTTGAAGCTTCTTTTTTCCTCGCTCGGTTTCATGTTTATTCCATGTTTCTCATCCCAAGCAAGTTGTAACCTCAATTTTTGCTTAGTGATTTTCCTATGGAAATGGAGGTAGCATTGATTCGGAACCGTGGAACCTCAAACAAATCTTGGTTCTAGGGAGGTTTTTCTTTCGCCAGGATGAATTGATAAGACTGGTGTGATATTGAATCTGTTGCAGAACATTCATGCTGAGGAAGCTTGCTACTTTGGAAGATAAATTCATGAGGTGAAGCCCTAATTTCAGCCTTGAGGACAGGACAGAACCGTGCTTCAGGAACCCCGTCCATGGGAAACAGATTTAAGACTGATTGTGTCATGATCGTGGGTCAATGGTTGGATGGTATACGCAACAAGGCCCAAGGAAGTGGTTGAGATGGCCAGGTCTTGTGAGAGTTAGCTATTCTGTAGTGTTGAGATGGAATAGTGGAATGAGCGTGCTTATGTAGTAGGGGAATGCTACTTAGAACTTAGAAAGAGATGGTCTGCATATGCGGTGGCGGGCGTATAGCAGCTATTTTTTATTACTGTTCTTCTTTTACCTTCTGAAACCATTTATAGCTATTACTTTGAAGCTTATTTAGAATATGATAGTATGCCCTTCAGTTTTGTAGTTCCTATTGTAGATCTATAATTCAAGACTTTATATAGGATAATTGAGTGATTCTAAACATGTATTTTTGCTTCATATCACATGTTCCTTCAGACAGTTTTTTGGAACATTTTCTGCAGGTGAAAAATGTTGCATAGTATACAAAAGAAGGCTCAAGAAAACAATTGAGGTGACAGGGTCTAGCGAAAGTAAGTTATTTAGTAGCATACAGAAAGCATAGTGGAATTAGAATAGTTATTTAGGTTAGTCAAAGAAGAGATGGTGTGAATTATTATTCTCTTGTTCAGCAGTACTAGTAGTAATTATGTACTTTTTGGAGCTTGTCTGGGAAATTATTAGTAAGCATATTGTAGCTCTTTTGTATGTCTGTTCTTTGAAAACCATTTATCGTTTAATACTCCACATTTCCTTAAATGATTTTTATTGTGAATTGTGGATGCTCTCATTTGGTGAAGAAGCAAAGACCAACAAGGCCATTGGTAAAAAGGGGACTTATAATGTGAAAACCACTACTGTCATGTCATTAATGTTGCTGAAAAGAGGAGGTCCGGAAGGTGATTTCAGATGCTAAAAAGTATTCTGCTAAGAAAACAGAAGAAAGAAACAAGAGGGATTGTCGTGTTCAAATGGTGTCTGCGCAAAGTCAGTGATGAATTCAACACAAATGAATATTCAGAGGAGACTCTTGTGACAAATTTGAAGAGGAAACACCCTCCATGAAAAGAAAATGAATCTAATACCAAGAAATATAGTGAAAGTGTTTTTGGATTATTGACTGAGGTTTTGGTAGCCAGTGGATAAATTGTTTTAGGAAGTTGTTATTGATTCTTTTAGCCTAAAGCATCTACTTTTTGATTGTGGATTTATATTGTTGCTCTCTACGAAAACGGCTAAACATCTTTTCTGTGATTTCTTCTTCATGTTTGACAAATTTTATGTAAGCTTAAACATATCTCTTTTGTGCCAGGTAAGGGAACAAAGAATTTGGAAAAGAAGATTGAGATCATAAACCTCGATGATGATGATGATGATGATCAGTGTATGTATCGAGGAGTACATGAAAAGAAGGCTATTTCTGGAATTGCGATGAAGTTTGAGGATCCAACTCCAAGTTCTTCAGTAGCATGGCAACATGCAAATCCACTTGACATGGTAAAAAGAAAAATTTCTTTTAGCGACAGTGAAAGCTCTAGTTCTTCCTCCGATGATTCATCGTTTCTTGATAATCCTGCAATAAGGTCTGCAGCATCACCTGCTAAAAAGAGAAAAATGTAGCAGGATTAAACTACTAGCCAAGATAACCAGCCTATAACATTACATAAACACATATCCCAGTCAACCATGACCTTTTGTTAGGTTTAATGAACCATGAACTCATCTTTACGTTGGCTCTTAGTTCTGAAAACATGTACAAATGTTAGGTTGTATGTTACATATATGGGAGCCATGGTACATTTGTATCTACTAGATGTACTTCAACTAAAAAAATCAGTGTTCTCTATTATGTTTGTTTGGTTATGTTGTGTATAGTTTTATCCACTTCGAAGAAACCAAATTCTCATTTGAGAATGAAGTAAAATTGACTTTCTCATTGTATAAGTATAACAATGCAGACATATAGAACATAATGCACACATATATAACAGAAATATAGAATATGTAAAATAGTACAACAATATCTTTACATAGTAGTTGTCTTCTATACAAGTAACTCAGTAGCCACGATAATGAACTTAACAAATTCAACTGTTTGCATTGAATGTGACTGCTGGAAACATGACTAGAAACACTACTGCAACAAATCCAAGTCCCATACAAAGCAGGTACGATTTGTAGCACGAAACAGGAACTAGTATCAAATCAGTTTTCCTTCTAGATGAGGAGCTCAAAGCTTCGGTCATTTCTAGATTTTCCTAAGTTAGTCCACTAGGAAGTTCCCAATTAAAATTATAAAGAAATTCTGCAAGAGAGTTCAATACTCCCACTCCAAACAAAATCCCCGGACAAATTCTCCTTCCAGCACCAAACGGTATATATTTGATATTTGAACCTTTATAATAAATTGCAGAATCCAAAAATCTCTGGAATAAACCTCTCTGCTTCCAATAGTCAGGATCTCTTTGAATGGCCCATGCATTTACTATAACTTTGTTTCCTGCATGTATTGTGTATCCATTAATCTCACAAGTTTCTTTGCATTCTCTTGGGAGAAGAAGAGGGAAAGGAGGGTGTAATCTCAGTGTCTCTTTGATGATTGCTTTTAATTTTTAGTTATTTGAGTTCCTGAAGTGATGTTTCATCAATGTATCCTTTGCTGCCAAACTGTTGTCTTACTTCTTGTTGGGCTTTGATAATTGCAGATGATGCATCACTTCCAGCAACAAACATGTCCTACACCTCGGAAATGAAAGAAAAAAAAGTACTTAATATGAACTAAAAGTATTTAAATATAAACTAAAAGAAAACATATAATTCATACAACTTACCAAAATAACAGCTTTAATGTTATCGAGTGTTAAAGGACACACAAGGGCCTCATCATGATCTTTAATCCTAAGAAAACAGAAAAGCCTCTACAGTCTCTCCTTCATCATAAGTCTTTTCCACAGCCTCTTTGATAATATTCTCAATAATATATCAATTCTTTTATGCAACTCCTCCAACTTGGGTTTCATTCCACTAATCAAATGCAACCACTTTTGAGAAGGAAACAAATCAATAACAGTAAAACCTTCAGCAAGTTTCGCAAGTTTCTTAATCAACAAAAAGAACACTTTTTGATCTTTACATATTTTACCAAAAGCAGCTCTTGAAGTTACTGCACTTGTCATGCATGTAACTTTTTCACTTGCATTATTAATACATGATCCAATGTTATTAGAAATATATTTTTTTAAACAAGATACTTCTTGTTCTCTAATGGATTGAAATGATCTCACACGTTTTGTACAAAGAAGCACTTGTGAACATAATCTTCTTAGTTGTTTCCAATAGCTTCCGTAAGGAGCCATTGCGGTGTCGGTGGAACCGTAACACATGATGTCTGCTTTTATTGATGTGGTCTTTCAGCAAAGATTGAGTTTTGAGAATCTGTTTGGCAAATTTAGGTGAAGAAATTACTGTGGTTGATACTTCACCTAGTTTTAGGTGCATGATAGGGCCATGATTATTTGAGAGATGTTTCAAACGTGATGAGGTAGAGAGCCAATAAGGTGGTGGATGCTTCCTATGATTGGAAGGTTCCATGGACCACGTGGTAGGTTTTTTTGTGTGTGACTTTTGATATTAATTTTCTTGCTTTTAGAACTTGTATGAGGAAGAGAATGAAGCTTGTTAAAAATAAAAGGAAATGTATATAGGAGGATAAAACAAATGGTGATAAGAATGAGATTTATCGCTGGCTATATATCTATAGATATTAGGGAAGAAAACAAGAGGATGAATGCATATGAGATAAATAATATATTAGATAATAGAGTATATTATCTATACATTTGAAAAGAGATGAAAGTTGTTGGTTCTTTTAGGATTGTATGCATTATGAAAAATAACGTGAAGTTGTTCAAGATGGTTTTATGTAAAAGAGACACATGTTGAACATGATGTTCCAACATGTGTGCTGCAACATTTGATCTCTGGCAATAGAGAAATGGTATTGTAGTTTGGTTCAAAATTATTCTATCCAAGACTTTCTCTATAAAGAAGATCTACAAGTTATGAAGAAGAGCGAATTTGGATGTACTAGTGTAACACGTGGAACACGATGTTCTAGCACGTGTAGTGCAACATCTAACCTTGTCAGCAGGCCATGAGGAATGTTGTTTGATGCAACTTTTTTGATTGAATTTGAATCAGATTTGTTAGCAATGTGTGGTTGATTTGTTTGACAGTTGTTGAAGATTAAATCAAATTTAAATGGAAATTCGAATTTGAATTTGAATATAACAAATCACATCTTATGGATATTTTTATGGAACAATCAATTTTAACAAGATTCTCTATTAAGGAAAAAGTCTAGAAGACATTGTTATATAAGGAGACTCAATTTTCATGTTTTACTTGAGGGTTTGTACACAAGATTAAGTTCTTTGTGTATAGGATTTTTGAGTCTTGTATTCCACGCTAATGTTGTATTAGTGTTGAACCTATTTGTTGCACACTACACAATGTTTCAGTAACTCAACATAGTTGTTGGTTTGTAAATCTGACATGTTTGTGTACACCACTCTATGTTTCAGTAACTTGGGGTAGTTGTTGGTTTATTTTAGATGAGTTGTAAATTCAACAATCATTGTGTTAATGGTTAAGTTGAGGGTTAGTGATTGAGAGAAAGTGAGATAGACTTTCATATTTAGGAGGTAACCTAAATAAAAAGTCACTAGAATTTGGGAGAGGCGTGGAACTTCGTAGAGTTTGAGGGTTGTTATAAGACTAATTGTTCTAATTCAAAGTAGTGAATTTCCTTAATTGGACAAAGTATCCCCCTGATGTATGTGTGGTTTCACCGAACTGGGTTACCAATCTCTTGTGTTATTTTATTGCTTTATGTATTGTTTTATTCCTATCATATTACTGTCATTCTGGTTTAAGAAGTTGAGTCAGTTGTCTCAACATCGTGTCTAACATCTGCCTCCACAAGAATATAATTTCAATTGACATCAGAGTATGCATCATGTTCTGTTTTAGTGAGTTCGAGGATTCTTGTTCTGTTCAAGATGGATAACTTCAACGAAGAAGGAGTTGTTTATCAACCAAAGATTTTTTATGGTGCTAATAATCCTCAAAAGATTATTGACATTTATTAAGACTGTGATGTCCAAGCAAAATGTAATTTTGAAGAGAATTTCAGGTTTGCTAAGATCTTTATTAAAGTCATAAGACAAGTTGACAAGAGATCTGGAAAAAAAGTCCCTACCAATGTCAAGAATATTTAGCATAAAGAAAAGGACAATGAAAGACAAAATGTTAACTGCTCCTACATATGCAAAAGGACCTGATGTCTTAATTGCAAAGATTTTGGACATATACAAGCTGAATGCACAAGTTTTCCAAGGAAACAAAGATTTAAATATTGACGAAATCAAACAGTACGTTGATTGTCGACATGTATCACCAAGCGAAGCATGATGGAAAATATTCTCTTACTCAATTCATGGTCGAAAATCAGCAGTTGAAAGGTTGTTTTTTCACATGGAGGGAGAGAATTCTATATATTACAAAGATTATGAGCAAATTGAAAATGTCCTTCTTAAACCAAGTGTCACATAATCAATATTTACATTTTTGCGTGTGGCAAATAGTGAGTATGAAGAAGCAAGGAAATTAACGTATGATCAATTTGTGTCGAAATTTGTTTATGATAGGAGGAAGAGGTGTTGGAAATCACAAAAGAGAGGTTACACAATTGGCTGACTAATTTGGTTCTCGCCAACAAGCGGAGAATTGTATTATATGAGGATGTTGTTGACTGTTAAGAAAGAACCAACTTGCTATGATGATTTAAAGACAATTGATGGCTTCAAACACAATCACAAAAGAGAGGTTACACAATTGGATGACTAATTTGGTTCTCGCCAACAAGCGGAGAATTGTATTATATGAGAATGTTGTTGACTGTTAAGAAAAGACCAACTTGCTATGATGATTTAAAGACAATTGATGGCTTCAAACACAATACATTTAGAGATGTATGTTTTGCGATGGACTTTTTAAAAGATGACAAAGAGTTCATCGAGGTAATAAAAGAGGCATACAACTGGGTTTCTGGAGTATATTTACGCAAGCTTTTTGTTACAATGTTGTTATCAACTTCAATGAATTGACCAAAACATGTTTGACGTAACACTTGAATATATTTATCAGATGACATTCTATATGAACAAAGAAGATTGACACAAAATTCAAGTTATAACAATTTTTTACAAATCCTTTCAAAGTTAGTGGTTTGTCAAAAATTTCAATATATCATGGTTGTTCCCGTTTGCATAAATAAGTACTATTATAGTTTACATGATTTTTCTTTAGATTTTCTTCAAAATATTCAATTAACATGGGTATACTCTATTTAGTTTAGGGTGTTTTTCTATTGCAAAAGTTTTCTATCTTTTAACTTAATATCATTTTAATGTTTATTAAGTATTGACTATTATTATGTATACTGACACTATCACACAATAACATATCTATAGACCTATATTTAGTTCTTCATTAATTTCTTCACAAGTAAATATATTTAAAACTAGTGTAAACTTACTTAGATTTTGACATTTTTTATA